TTAACATTCATTTCATCACTGAAGAAGGTTATAGTATTTTAGCCGAAACGTCTATTTTAAGATTTTTAAGTCAGTGACAACAACTTTTAAGATTTTATAGTTTAACCTCTTAATTTTTATCATACTTTATAATTTGTCTGCCAAGTGCTCCAAACTGTAAACTACAAGCGAGGTATCATTATTGTTTTGGTTAAACCAACCATAGCCATTTAAAGACAACTTCTATCAGATTCAGTAATGACATTCAGAGTGGGAAACCAATATTGCCATCATTATTTAGCTCTTATTAACCGAGCAGGAGGTCTGTATGGGAGAATCTTGACTGAGGTTGTGAGTACAGACCGAACGCAGTGAGGTCTGCACACAAGACCGAGGTCAAGATTCTCCCATACAGACCGACTAAGCTCAGTTAATAAGATGTTTATTATATGGCAAGCAAGAGAAATTTAATTCGTTTAATGTAACTGGTTTGTACTAGACGTCGACATTTTGCTTGCCAACAGCGATGAGCTGAACTTAATTCTGCTGAAGTCTGCTTGTACTCTTTACTTTTCTTTTCTTTTCTTATCAGACTTTTTAACACTGCCATAAATGAATATTGTTAGTAGAAAATAGTCAATATTTTTCCATTTTACTTTACACCTTTTTCACCGCAAAACATTACCAGTCTAGATGCCGGTCTAGATGGAAAATCTAGACCACTTTCAATATCGATTTCAGCCTATGAAATTCCTGAATTCAGTAGTTCCCAGTCCTTGCGAAACACAACCATATAATAAACGTGTATATTAAGTGTAGTAATGTAAAAATGGCTTGAGCCCTTGGGAAACCAATGTACACTACTTTATCTGCACCTGACAATCTCTTATTGTGTTACTACTACTGGAAAGTGGAAGCAAAGAAAAATGATTTACAGCTGAATCGTAGTCACTTTTAAGGTATTGCTTGTAGAATCGATGATACAGATTACACGCAGAAGCACAGGCCACTGGGGGTAGCTTTAGTCTGTGACCTGAAAAAAAAAAATTGTTCATATATTTTAATATAACAGAAATAGAAACTGATGTTTACAATCTATTCTACCCAGGGGTAAAACAAAAGGGACACATTGCACAGCCATCTATCTGTTGAAGTCTAAAAACAAGTCAAGTCATTTGACCATGCGCACGATGTTGGTGTACAGAGCCGTTACAAAATATGTAACGCTAAAAAACACGGTGGAGTGTAAAATCTAAGGACAGCTTTGACAATCTGACGACATCGAATGAAAGTAAATTATATGTGCATTTATCTCCTGATGAGAAAATCCCAGAATATCTACTTACTTTCACTTGAAAACAAAATGAAAACACCATACAGGAAATTGACGATAAAAACAGGAGTGAATGAGTTTGAAATTTTTGACATCCTTTCCGTTGCCGTTAAAATTTTGAGACAAAAGTCTTGAAATCGAGGTGCACATGAGTTGCAGAATCAAGTCGAATAGGTATTTTTCACAGAAAGTCAACACAATCAAAGATAAAAGTGATTTTCTAGCATTACATTCATATTTTTGAACCAAAGTTTTGGTTCGAATTTCAACGTTAAACATAAGCGTTTTGTCCAGCTTGTGAAAACGTTCGCATCGTTCATTTCATTTCCATCGTTTGGATCGTTTCTATTGTTTGCAATGTTTCTATCACGTGTTTCGTTTTTATCGCATGTTCGTATCGTTTCTATCATTCATTTGATTTCTATTTTTAGTATCGTTTAGAACCCGGGTTTTGAACTATCTTTGGCGTTGTTGTTCTTGCGTCTGTTACTTGGTGTCTTGCCACATAAATCTCGACTACAGCTTCAATTGATGCACAGTTCAGGCACAGGTAGGCACAGTTTAGGCGCAACGAATGCACATTTTACATAGGTTAAGAATCTTCCAACGCACAGATCATTTAAAATGTTCATCAACAATTGTTCAAGGATGGGTTTAGAATTATTTCACTGAAAGCATTAGCAAGCCTGCTCAGTTCCCAATGCACTGTAAAAACGTGCAAAATGTTTGAAGTAAATTTACAATGCTTGTAAACGGTACTTGGAAGACTGTTGGAGTATCACTTTTGTTCCTATAAAACTGGACCAGAACCACGCTGCTCTTACTAAATTTATTGCGTGATGAGCCAGTGCTATGTGAGGTTTGAACTCAGTGAACTTGAGATCAGCTGAAAGTCTTGTGGCTTTCAGTGGCAGCATTAAATCAGTCATGTCATGTCAATTTCTGTTACATTAAGGCATGTTTAACATGACAAGTTTTAAACTACAAACAAAACTTTCTGTGCCTTCCTAAAAAACCTAGACGGATCCCAGACGAAACAATTGTGTTGACTCTTTTTGTTGACTTTTGATAAAATACAATTATTACAGGCTGGCCAATCAGAATCGTTGGTTCCCACGGCTAATAAAATTCCAGGTTGAATGAATCAGAAAGGTTACCACTGATTTATCCATTTTTTTTTATTTAACAGCTTTAACAGTTGATATATCTTAATTTTTGTGACGTTATTTATAGGTAATCAAGCAATTGATCTTAACTTCAGCGGAAGACAAGATCTTTCAATTTTGACGTGCATTTTCTTGTCTGCACGAAACAACCTGTCAGAAGTTTTCAAAACACTACAAAATTGGTTGCAACAAACAGATGATCATTTTGTTTACCAAGCCAGTTTTTCGCATGAAGAGTCCCTGGAAATCCCTCGCGATGTCAACCGATCACGTACATGTAGGTCTTTAAATAAAAAAACTTAAGGTGCGCAATTATACGTTCGAAATGAAACGAACGATAGAAGGAAAACGAACGATAGAAACGGAACGCTTGACACGCTTTAATACCGGGAAACCAAACGAACGTTAGACACATTGTAAACACTGCAAACGCTTTAAACACTGCAAACTCTGCACCGTTTGAGATTGAAAATGTAACACCGCCTACGAGAATTTCAGTGAGTCACGTTAATTTTTCTGCTTGTTACTCGCTAACACGGCAAGAGAGCGTCGACAAAATCTGGATCGGACCGGACCGGATCACGGATCGGATCACGGACCGGATCACGGACCGGATCACGGATCGGATCACGGATCGGATCACGG